AAGGTCGAGTTAATATTAGCCACACGTTACTTTGCAATAGAAAATGATTCTTCGGATACTCGAGTACTTTTAAGCACTTCAAGCTGATTAGAGATTCTTTGGGACCTTTGTGCCATCGTTGTTAGCGTACGATGTGTTTGCATCAAACAGCTTCAGAACCTGTGCTTTTTCTCTCTTTCTTCTCTTCGCGTGTAATAACATCCACTCGCGCAAACAGTCTTACTTGGTGCTCTCCCAACGGCGTCATAGGAGACTTTTAATAAACCTACTTCAGCGTTTTTACGCTGGCGCATCCGCGGCGCATAAACTGACCTCTTCTTTGCACTCGTGCATGGTGTTTAAAGAGATACCTTTGCCCTCACGCCAGTATTTTTCTACATTGCATTTCACCCCGACGTTATGCTTGAACAAACGAAAATTTCTGCGAATTTTTCAGGAAACTTCCTGGCTAAATATCGGATAGAAAGTATGCAGGACGTTTTGCGAGATTATTGTCGCCGACAATCCTGCGGATGGAATAAGAGAAATCCCCGTTTTCATGGGAAATAAATGGAAAACTATGCGTGCATTCGATACTGGTCAAATTTACTCCAAACTTTCATACATTTGAATTTAATTCACTTGGTTTTGATCTATTTGAGTAATCAAGAAATTTGTTAGAAAATTCTTAGAGCTGTTACCTTTTTTCCTGGAAATTTTTGTGAAAATTGATCCAAAACTATAAATCGTCGATAGTGTATATTTACTCCAGAATTTTTCGTAGTGCTATAAATCTGCAGGTGAGAATAAACAAAGCATTGGGTCAAAAAAGACCCAAAGACCTTATGTGTAACAATTTTTGCTACCATACGAACGTAGACAATGAAATTTTAGTACACTATTAAGAGAATATAATCTAGATAACAGCAAAAGTCGTTAGAAAAGTAAGAAAGCGATGGGTCAAAAAAGACCCGAAGACCGCACTAGGGTAAAAGTCGCTATCTTCACCTCCAGACAATCGCAACTATCCTCCAAACAATCAACTGAAAACCTATTTAAAAAATCGTATTGCAAGCGTCACAAGCGAAAACCGACGAAATTGGACGAAAACCGTCCGAACCGAAAGAAAAAATCGCGAACATCGCCAAAATCTACGCGATTACTAGACCACCCTGTCAACGTAAAATACACGCGTTGAAGCACGAGAAAGTAGGTACAAGAAGAAAAATATGGAAAGGAAAAAAAGGGGAGAGAAAATAGCCGGGTTCAGCGACGTTACGCACCTGGTCCACGAAGG